AGCAATGTGGCCTTTGCTGTCCATACAGCTGTAGTCATACTGTAGTCAGTGAGCTAGGGAGTTACCTCTCCTTTCACACCTACTTTTGTTGTATGCTGAGTGATCCGCCCCTGCTGGTTTGAGGACGAGCTTTGTATGACTCTCCAATGATATGTATTTCCCTCTCATGCAGGTGCAGGAATTTGAGCATGTGAACGGCCGCTGGAGTATGCCAGAACTGGCAGAGATAGAGGAGAACAAGAAGCTTTCACAGCCAAGCTCACCCTCTCCGAAAACTCCGACTCCTTCAACACCAGGGGATACACAGCCGAATACACCCGCCCCTGTTCCTCCACCTGGTGAGGGCTCCCCCCTTGTGCAGCCCTGCGTCCTGACCTCATCCTGGCTGTTCCCCTCACCGGAACTGTGGTGGTGGGGTCTGGAGGTGGACGCAGATCAACTTACTCTCGTGTTAGGAGGGCTGCCAAAGACATGTGCAAACCCTTAAAGGCAAGAGAGGACACTAGCTTTCCTTGGATAAGCTGACATCAGTGAGAAGTCCAGCATTTGTAGTGGGCAGGAAAGGGGTGGGGGGTGTTGAGTGATGTTGGTTCCATTTTGATGGGCCCGATCTCTGGGAGCAAAGGAGATGTGTGCTTGGTAACTGGGAGGGGAAGACCTTACTGATGGCTTCTCTTCTTTTGTCTGCTGTGCTGCTCTGGGGTGGGGAATACACAGAAGAAGGAGTAAAAGTAGAAGAAGGAGCCAGTGCTAAGGATCAAGGAGAGCCATCTGAATCAGAGAAAGAGCTCAGTGCCTCTGCTACTGAAACAGAGGTCCCAATGGAGGTGAGTCTTGGGTGGCTTGTTTGCCTCACAATCTCTCTTGCAAATTTCTCTACTTCTAATCTCTCTTTGTTCAGTTGATAAGACAGAGATGAGTTCTTGGAGTGATATTTAAAGGTAACTCTCAGATCCTCAGAATTGGCCTGAGGGTTTAGTGCATCTTTGCTTTCTAAATTGCTGTAGCTGTCTTCTGTTTCCACGGACTGCTTTACCTTGCTTCTCACTGATTGCTGTCCTCTGCAGGGTGCTCAGCCTGTGGAGACACCACCACAGGAAGCAAAATCCCCAGCAAACCCCACAGAAGCAGATGAAAAAAAAGTAGAGGAGCCGGAAGTGAAGGAAAGACCAGATGAACCAATGGAAGTAGAGAGCAAAGGTACAAAATACTCCATCCTAAAAAAACAGGCCTGAATGTAGAAAAACACTGGGGAGTTAATGGAACAGTATTGGGTTTCTCTGGTTGAAGAATAAAACTGTGGACTTGCTGTGTTCCTCTACATCTCATGTTCCCTTTCCCTCCTGCAGCTGATGTGGAGAAAGTGGAGGACAGAGCACCTATTGAGAATCCTCCTGAACCTCCTATAATCACTCTGGATGAGAAAGGTGTGAGGAATGATAATTCCCTTCTCTCCCTTAATCTTTCTTCTGCAAGGGGTCCTTGTGGGTCCAGCTTGTGTGGTATCTTGTTTTTCTAATAATTTCCTGTGTGTACAGATGAGAAAAAGGATGATGATAAGAGAGACGTGGTGATGCTGCAGAATGGAGAGATGCTGAAAGAGTCAGTAGATGAAAGGCACAAGAAGGCAGTAAAGCAGCGCTTCATGTTCAACATAGCAGATGGTGGTTTCACTGGTATGAGATCTTTATCTGCTTGAACTGGTTTATATGCCCTTGCTTGTGTTTGTGAAATAACTTCCAACCTTTCTGGTGTCTCCTGCCTTTCCAGAACTACACTCCCTCTGGCAGAATGAAGAGCGAGCTGCAACTGTCACAAAGAAGACCTATGAGATCTGGCATCGGCGTCATGACTACTGGCTCCTTGCTGGGATTATCAAGTATCCTTGCCATGATGGATCCATTTTCCTGCCTTGTACATATAATTTGTGAAGGTGACAGTCCTGGGTCTGACTGGAGTAGGTTGAATGATAGCACTTTATCCTCTTTCAGAAGAGTGATAGTGATGGTGGGAGGAGGAGCTTCCTGCCAGCACAGTTAACACTTAGCAGGACATAGTTCTCATTCCTTTTCCTTGGCTCCTGTTCCTCCCCTCTGTGTGCCCCCTTTCTCCACCCCCTCTGAAGAACAGTACTGCCTGG